TCTGACCCCGGGGCACCAGACGGAGGGCCCCGCCCTGGCTCAGCCCTCTCCGCTTTCTCCCCCTGGTCCTCGAGAATGACCTAGATCTTCAGGGGAGCCCACGGTGGGGCGGGGCCGGCAGGGCCCTAGCGCCCCAGGACCGAGAAGTAGTCCGACTGCAGCCCCTCTTCACTCCCACTGCCTGGCTGCCCCGGGGATTGGCCCCTGATCCCTTCTCCCCTCCCTCCTGCCCACAGGAGTGTCAGGTGTGGGGCTTTAGCTCAGAGTCCAGCCGTGTTCCCAGGTGGCACGTCGGCTTCTCCGGAACCATTTTCTTGAGTTACTTCTCTGCCCCAAACGCAGAACTTCCTTGTCCTCCAGGTGCGCTCTGCACCTCCACGTGGCCTCCTGCAGGCGCGTCTTGCACCTGCTGCTCCCCAGAACTGCTGGGAGGCGGCCCCTTTCCCAAGGACCCACCTCTGCCCGCTCGGAGCCGGTCACCACTCCCCCGTGCTGAGTGCCCCCACCCCGACCCGTGCCTGTTTGGTACACAGAAGCTATGGCAACATCCCCACCTCACCCCTCCTCCCGCAGGCCTTGCGGCTTCCTGTTTGTATGGCTTGTTTTCGCTTCTGCTCGCTGGCTCTTGGTGAGGGGCTTACCCCAGTCCTGGGTTCCCCATCTTCCTTGCTTCTGCCTGTTCCATGTGGCACTTGGCTTTGGGGACAGGGACTCCCACTCTGCCCTTTAGAATCCTCTTTGTCCCAGTTCTGAGCTGGGAAGTTCCCCGGGGTCATCTGCACAATGAATGGAGAGTCCCTTTGTCTCCAGTGAAACCTCCAGGAACCCTGCGTCTCCCCACCCCCACGGTCTCCCCACCCCAACGCCCCATCCGCCTTTTCCTTGGCATTGGCCTGGGAGGTGAGGTAAGCTTCCAGCCCAGGGTCTGGGCAGGGCCGAGGGCCTGTGGCCTCTGCTCCTTTCCCAACCAGCGTGCCCTTCTCTGTGGGGGTGCAGGGCTGTTCCCACAGATGTAGGCAGATCTCCAGTTTAGGTTTCTCACAGCCACCAGCCCCCCCCCCCCCC